CCAGTTTTCAACGCCATACTCTAAGTATGGTAAGATCAATGAAGAATACAAAATGCGTAGTGCTTTCCCGTCCAAAATATATCTAACCCTTGCCAATATCGATATATTTTTTGCTATTTTGTTCTGAACATATCTGATATGCGATTTCCAGGAGAATTTGTCATCAACTATGACACCTAGAAATTTAATTTCATGTACTCATTCTATATTAGCTCCCCCAATTTTCAATTGAAGTTCATTGTCTAGTCTGCAATTCCCAAATACCATAAATTACTGCAATGCCGAGAACTGAAAAATCCGCACCAATTCTGATCAAGAGGATCAAGAATTCCCTCGTCCCTGCACACCAGACAGACTCCTATGTTCTGCCTTTTCTGCTGGTAAGCACAAATCTAAAATGTCTGAGGACATATTACACAGCACATCTCATTCCTCCACACCCCCACACATCCCAAAACAGAGACAGCTGAGTCACAGTGTTATTGTTACAACTGTGTTATCCTGAGTCACACACCCCTGAGCAAAAAGGCTTTGGTAGTGGTGGTGATATAACTCAATCATATCCTCTGCCATTTTTAAATCAGGGAGGATGGTGTGTAGGTGTACTCTGCTGAGTATTAACAGGATGGATACATGCACAGGTACAGGTAGACAGTCTGGGACAGCTGAGCTCATATGAATTCTGACAGAGATGCAGCCTCAGGTTTCATTTAATGTGCTCTAGTACTTTTATAACATGTTTGCCGTATTAGCGAGGGAACAGTGGAAAGCTACAGGAAAGACAAACACATTTTGGTTGTTTGTGGTCATTTACATATCCACATTTACCTAGGCTGCATGTCTCTGGACTGCAGGAGGGAGTGCTCAGAAGAAAGCCATGTTGGCATGGGCAGAACATGCAAACCTCATACAGAAAGGCCCCAGCTAGCCACAAGGTTAGAAGCTGGAACCTTCTTGCTGCAAGGTGACAATGGTAACCACTGTCTAATGTGCCGCCCCAGGGGCTGCCAATACATGTCTTCTGTCAGTATGTCTTCTTGATCATCCACGACAGATGTACATAGAGCTATGTCAAAGTATACCAGCTGACAACCAGAGAGATTTTCATCCAAACACGTCATCTCCATGGCCTCCCATGCTTCTTGCATGGACTGAAAGGCATCATTCTGGAACATAACTAGTTTGGGTCGTTTCACGTCTTGACATAGAACAGCCACAGGATGGACCACCACCACCTGCCCCTTGGAGAGGGTCCACGTCCTGTTTAGGAATCTCAACCCACTGTGAAAAACATCTGTTTTATATATTTTAAACTACTGTAACATATCAGAGCTGAGTGAAAAAAAAAA